TCCACTCATCTCAGCCTCCCAAAGGCACGGGATTACAGGCTGAGCCACCGAGCCCGGCGTGTTTGTTTTTTGATTGTTGTTTTTTGGGAGGCCGAGCTTTAAGCTTGGGCTGATGTAGTGGCATTCAGCTATAAGGAGGAAGGAGGTGAAGTTGGTCCGTCACAGCCTCAGTGTTTCATAGAGAGGTGCCGAAGAAATTGACAACACATGCCTATCTGCCTGAATGAAACACCAGATTCTCCAAACATCTACGCTTGTCTTTGGAAAACATTCTGTCATTGCTAGGCTAGTGTAGGAGGAATTCCAGCACTCTGAAGCAGCTGCTGAAACGCCTGTGGGGCTGTCTCACACAGTGCCTTCTCTCGTCTGCTGTCTGCCCACACACCCTCGGAGGTGGTGGTTTTGGACACCAAGTCCCTTCTAGTAGTGAAAAGGGCTTTTCCTGCCTGCTGTCTCTGGAAAATGGGCCCATTAAGGGACAGGGGGAGGAGGGCCCTTCGCTGCCTCAGCCCAGCCCTGTGATCCCAAAGCAGAGGGTTGCCAAGGATGGACTGCAGGAAATGGAGTGTCGGTGACTGTTGGAGGTACAGCGATGCCAAAACTCTGCCGCGACTCTACCGAAATTCTCGTTTCGAGGCCTGTGCTCTTGAGTTCTCACAGCCTGGTGGGGGCAGCTGTGGAGGGTGGTCTCCCAAAATTTCTTGTGACACAGTCATTTGTCAGCAAGTCCCAGAACAGCAGCCTAACTCCGTGGCCTCTGGGGTCCACCCCTTGGGAGGAGTGCAGAGGCTGCTGTGCCCTCTGCCATCCACAGGTGTTCCCTCACCCCTCACCTGCCTCGGGCCGGGTTCTGCTGGGACCTTTTTTTGTTTTTTGTTTTTGTTTTTTGTGTTGGCATCTCACTCTGTCACCCAGACTGGAGTGCAGTGGCCGCTCCCGGCCAGCGCAGCCTCGACCCGCTGGGCTCCAGCGATCCTGCCGCCTCAGCCTTCCGAGTAGCCGGAATTACAGGCATGTGCTACCACGCCCGGCTGATTTTTTGATTTATTGTAGAGATGAGGTCTCGCCAAGTTGCCCATGCGGGTCTCGAACCCGCGGGCTCAGGCGATCCACTCACCTCAACCTCCCAAAGGCGCGGGATGACAGGCTGAGCTACTGAGCCTGGCTTCTGCTGGGATCTTAGGCAAGGTTCCCGCGCTCAGGCTCGGTCTGGCAGGGACGTCCAGCAAGTTAAAAGGCAGTTGTGAGTGTGGATACAGGAAGAGTGGGGACACTCACACAGCCTTGGGACAGGCGATGACGGCAGGGAAGGCATCTTGAAGTTGGCACCTGGACTGGGTCAAGAAACAAAGAGGACAGCCTAGTCGAAGGTCTGAGTTTGGAATCCTGTGGAAGATGAAGTGATGAGGCCACGCCCAGGCCCTGGGAGCTCTGCGGTCCCTGAACTTGCCCTCAGGGTCGACAGCGCCAGTCACTGCTGAAGTCCAAGGCTGGGTCCAGCAGTGACTGAAGGTAAGGGGGGGCTCTGGGGCCCTCCCAGCCTGCCTTGATAGGAGGACGGGCTGCCTCCCAGGGGCCAAAGGGGAAGACAGCAGGCAGAAAGCCGAGGCTTCATTGTTGGACAGACTTGACTTCAAACTCCATTTTTTTGGGTTTTTTTAGGCAGAGTCTCACTCTGTTGCCCAGGCTGGAGTGCAGTGGCCCGATCATGGCTCCTCACAGCCTCAAATTCCTGGGCTCAGGCGATCCTTCACCTCAGCCTCCCAAGTAGCTGGAACTACAGGCACACGCCACTGCACCCAGCCAATTTATTTATTTATTTTTGGGTCGGAGTCCCATTCCATTGCCCAGACTGGAGTGTAGTGGCACACTCACAGCCACCCCAGCATCCCAGCATCGACCTGCTGGGCTCTGATGATCCTTCCGCCTCAGCCTCCAAGTAGCTGGAGCTACAGACCCACACCACCATGCCTGGCTAGTTCTTGTGATCTATTGTAAAGTCGAGGTCTCGCCAAGTTGTCCGGGCTGGTCTCGAGCCTGCGGGCTCAGGCAATCCACTCGCCCCGGCCTCCCAAAGTGCTGGGATCCAGCTGAGCCACTGAGCCCGGCCTTTTCTTTTTTTTGGCAGTCTCATTTTGCTACCTAGATTGGAGAACAGTGGTACTATCATGGCCACTACAGCTTCAACCTGCTGTGCTCAGGCGACCCTCTGCTTCAATCTTCCAAGTAGCTGGAACTACAGGTGCACGCCACTACGCCCAGCTAATTTTTTGATTTATTGTTGACACGAGGTCTTGCCAAGTTGCCCAGGCTACAACTCCTGGGCTCAGACAGTCCTCTTACCTCTGCCTCCCAAAGTGCTGGGGATTATAGGTGTGAGCCACCACACCCTACCTGGATAATTTTTTGAGATTTTTGTAGAGATGAGGTCTCACTATGTTACCCAGGTTGGTCTCAAACTCTTGGGCTCAAGCAGTCCTCCCACCTTGACCTCCCAAAGTGCTAGGATTACAAGCATAAGCCACTGCACCCAGCCTCAAGCTACACTTTGACATGTATCCAGCCTTTTTCCTTACCCGTAAGAGGATAAAACCATGCACCATACAAGATTTCACATGAAAAGATCTATGTAAGCTGGGCTCAGTGGGTCAGCCTGTAATCCCGTGCTTTGGGAGGCTGAGGAGTGGATTACCTAAGCCCGCGGGTTCGAGACCCACCTGGGCAGCGAGACTTCAGCGAGACCTCATCTCCACAATAAATCAAAAAATCAGCAGGGCGTGGTAGCGCGCGCCTGTAATTCTGGCTACCTGGAAGGCTGAGGCAGAAGGATCGCCACAGCCCAGCAGGTCGAGGCTGCAGTGGCCGGGAGCGGCCAGTGCACTCCAGTCTGGGTGACAGAGTGAGACTCCAACTCAAAAAAAAAAAAGCAAAGTTCTATGCAAAAACATCAAGCCCTTCTCCTTTCCAAGACCGGTGAGAAGGGACAGATTATATAGGTACTTCTAGGAGAAACCTTAGGAATGAGAGGGTTTTTGTATTACTAGCATCTGGGAAAAAATTATCAGGACTTAAGGAAATGCCTGGTGCCCACCCACACCCCGCCTGGATCTGCTGTGAAGCGGGATCTCACATGCCACCAAGTCAGGCAGGTATGGCCCTGGCCATGCCACGTGTAGCCCAGTGCGTGGCACATGATGGAGTGGCCTTCAGCTGCCTACCACAGTCCCAGAAGACAGGTTTGAGGGTCTCAGACCCACATCAGGCCAAGGCCAACACCAGCAATCCAAATAAAAGAAGGCAGGTCGCTTGGGGGGCAGACCAGGAGTCCAGCTCCTCGCTCTCTGGCAGTCAAGCCACAGCTGGCCTTGGGTAGGGCTGCCAGCCCCCAGCCTAGGGGTGGGACCAACACAGGCACTCAGGGCTTCCAGAAGCTTCTGGAGAAGGGTTAGTGGGCCGCTGTGCAGGGAACAGGCAGAGCAACCAAGCCCAAGGCAGCAGTGCCAGGAAGGGCATGAAGGTGGCCCGTGCTAGGGGCTGAGGGAGCTTTCCCCTGGGGCAACCCCTGGGCTTGGCTGGGAGCAGAAAATACAAAACCATCAGAGAAGTAAAATATCTTGGTTTTATTATGTACAAACAGAATTTTAAAAAACCACCCACCCTGAAAACAGCAGGTTATTGCCTTCCCATGAGCCCCAGGGAAGTAGAAATCGGAGCCCGAGGGACAGTTCCTTCCCCAGAGGGGGAGTGTGCGCGCCATTCTGGTTCCAGGGGATCTGGCCAGCCCCTCCACAGCCATGCCCCCCCCAGCCTGGAACCCTGGCCCCAGCCCCAGGGGCCCAGAAGAGGCTCAGCTGGGGCCGGAGTGATGAAGGCCAGTCATCCCACCTCCATCTTACTCTTCTGCAAAGAGTCGCGGAAAGCTTGCCACTCTGCTGGGTAGAAACGCCTATAGACGTTGATCTTATTCCGAATCTGTTTTGGGGTATCTTGATAGTAATTCTTCTCATCCCGGGCCATGGCCTAAGAAGGAAGGAGAGCTACTTTGAGCAGCGCTAGACAAGCAAAGGTTCAAATCCCAGCTCTGCCTCAACTGGGCAGGTCACTTTCTCTCCCTGAGGGTCCAGATTCCGGATCTTAAAGGCCATGGTGTGTGGGGTGGGGAGGGGATAGAGACATGGGGCAAGTGCCATCAGGGACCAGGCAGGTCTGAGAGTCTAGGGGCCAGGCAGGAGCCAGCCGGTAAGGATGGCTACCCCATTCATAGCCCACTAACTCCACCTGGGCACAGGGGTCCATACAGCTAGATCATTCCACTTTAAAAAGAAACATAAGCCAGGCGCAGTGGCTCATGCCTGTGGAGACAAGAGGACTACCTGAACCCAGGGGTTTGAGAATAGCCTGGACAACTTAGCGAGACCATGTCTCTACAATAAATAAATAAAAATTAGTCGGATGTGGTGGTGCATGCCTGTAGTTCTAGATACTAGGAAGACTGAGGTGGAAGGACCTCCTGAGTCCAACAGGTCGAGGCTGGAGTGGCCACTGTGCCCCTGCACTCCAGCCTGGGCTAGAGTAAGACCCTGACTCAAAAAAAAAAAAAAGTATGGACTTTTATTTGAACCTTCCCATTATTAAATGGCAACTAGCTCGAGTTTTTTTTTTTTTTAAGTACCACACAGGCAAAACAAAACTCAGTATCTGCCAGCGGGACATGACCCACAGGTCACTCGGCCTGCCCCACAGTGAGTACACTGCTCGTGTCAGATCCCGCCAGGGGATGCACTTCCTGGAGTCTCCTTCCTTCCCTTCTTCTCACTCAGGTTCAGGAAACAGGCACTAGGCAAGCAGATCAGGCCACGACCAGCCTGGGGTGCCTTCCCCACCAGCCCAAGTGGTTTCCTGCTAACCTGAACTGCTCACCTTATAGTCCTCCCCGTGGTTCTCCACCATGTAACGTACGTAATCGATGAGGTCCCGAGACAGGGTATTGTCCTTCTTTTCGGGGAGGCTGGCTTCTGCCTCCAGTTCTGAAGTGAGAGAGGCCAAGAGACAGGGAGTGAGGCTTTGCTCTGTTTCCTGAGCTGTCCAATCACCCTTTCTCCCACTCCCAGCCATCAGACTTGCTACACCAACCACCTAGTGGTCTCTGCCTCCCCGTTCCCAGATTCATTGCGGGAACCTTCTTCTTCGGCTTCCTGGAGGCCAGGGGCTGCCTCCCGGGATGCAATCATCTATCAGGATGGCAGCTACCTGAAAGGCAAGTCACTTCTCTCTGGGCCACAGGTGGGTTTAAAAGGATGACACCAAATAGCCTCCACTGGGACAGAGAAATGAAGACACACTACCTGCCCACGGAGCAGGGTACCTTCTAGCCAAGACTTTCCAAGAACCTCTTTTCTTGAGGTGTCACAGCAATATGTGAAAAATGGAAAGCTCTGTAGATAAGACCCAGAGTTGCAGGGACCAGGGCCTATAGCTGGGTCCAAGCACTTAACTGCTCCATGCGAGGGAAAAAGCCAGGTTGTGGAACCCATGTCTTCACTTTTATTTTTTTGAGTCAGAGTCTCACTCTGTTGCCCTGGTTGGAGTGCAGTGGCATGCTCATGGCCACTGCAGCCTCGACCGGCTGGGCTCAGGCAATCGTTCCGCTTCAGTCTTCCAAGTAGCTGGAACTACAGACACCTGCCACCACACCTGGCTAATTTTTTAAAATTTATTGTAGAGACAAGGTCTCACCAAGTTGCCCAGGCCGGTCTCGAACCCCTGAGCTCAGGCAATCCTCTTGCCTCAGCCTCCCAAAGTGCTGGGATTACAGGCTTGAGCCTTGAACCACCGTGCCCGGCCTATGTCTTCACTTTTACGTAACGAGGCGGGGGGGGGGGCAAATACTCCCCCATTTCTCATCTAGGAAGGGAGGAAAAACGGCCATCTAGTAGGAATGACAAAGCCAAGTCTACCCACGGGTTAGGTCCTAATGTTGCTTAGTCAGAATTAGCTTTGCCATGGCTGCCAGGGGCTGGAGGTGGGGGAGACGGGAGCTGCTGTTGAAAGGGTCTAGCTTCAGTTTTGCAAAGTGAAAAGGTCAGGGATGGGCTGCACAACAATGTGAATAACACTCAACTGCCCACTTAAAAATGGTTGCCATGGTAAAGTTCACATACTTTTCACCATAATTTTAAAGTTTCTTTACAATAAAGATGTTTAATTCTTTTTGACTGCAGTAAGCCCACATGCTTTGTATAATACAATCCTTTGCAGTAATTCTTAGAGCCACTGAAATAAACTCAAGACAGAACTTAAGGGAGTCTCTATTAAATGCCTGACCATTTGAGTCTTTTAGGAGAGCTGTGAAAACTCCCCGGCAGGTAAGGGGAAGGATGGAGAATTCTAGAGCATGCCTACTTTCCTGCAGCGTTTACCCTCTTCTGCTTTAATATTCATTCTCTCTAGCCTTAATATACATAAAACTGATTTTTTTTTTTGAGTTGGAGTCTCACTCTGTCACCCAGACTGGAGTGCAGCGGCCGCTCCCGGCCACCACAGCCTCGACCTGCTGGGCTCCGGCGATCCTTCCTCTCAGCCTTCCAAATAACTGAACTACAGGCACGCGCTACCACACCCAGCTAATTTTTTGATTTATTGTAGAGATGAGGTCTCACCAAGTTGCCCAGGTGGATCTCAAACCCGCGGGCGCAGGCAATCCGCTCACCTCGGCCTCCCAAAGCGCTGGGATTACAGGCTGAGCCACCGAGCCCAGCCCATAAAACTGATTTTGACCTTGGAAACACTGAATGAGGTAGTGGCATCTATAAAAATCGGTTCATCTTCAAGTTACGGGGAGCTGAACACATGCTGGAGTCTCGCAGTTTCCCTTCCACTCGCTCAGGCACCCTCTGAACTGCATCCTCTCTGAACAGCTCTGACTGTAGTGCACACAGCTGGCTTCAGTCAGTAGACTAAGAATGTCCAGCTGGGGACATTCACAGCCCTACCTCGGTGACGCTGGACCAGCCCTCTCCCCTCTAAACCTTGGCTTCTCCACCTGCAAAGCGAGGACCTCAGAGGGCCCTTTCCAGCTCTGGCAGCGCAGGCTATGCCCGCAAGGACTGTGGCCCACACCCACCATTCAGCACATAGGGCTTCCGCACAAGCTCCTTCGGCCTCTCCTCCATGTCCACCTCCATGGCCTTCACCTGTAGAGAGAACAGAGCAACAAAGGAAGGAATTTTGATGAAGGAAAGCTCTAGAGATGCCTGCTTATCCCAACACGACTACATTACCCATAAGAGTCACTACCCAAGGCCAGGCAGAACAAGGTGACAAGGACAACCAATCCCTGGAGGCTTCGATGACTAGAGTCCATGGTTCCCAAAAGAAACACAAGCAAGCAATTCATCTTTCTGTGCCTGTCTATAAAATGGGCCTAACCTTACTTGACTGTGATAACTGAGTGAAACAACACACAAGAAAGCACATAGTAATTTGCAATGAGTGGGAGATGTCAGATATCTTCTCTAGGGGAGGAGCTATCTGACTGCACTTGGCTGTGGCTTCATGAAAAAGTAGTGCGGTGTTCCTCTGGCATGAGGGAACTTGCCTAAAGACAACGGGACAAATTAATTCGGCAAGCTCACTCATCAGGCTAACTCTTTTTTTTTTTTTTTTTGATTTGGAGTCTCACTCTGTCACCCAGATTGGAGTGCAGTGGCTGCTCCCGGCCACCACAGCCTCCACCTGCTGGGCTCCGGCGATCCTTCCGCCTCAGCCTTCCAAATAGCTGGAACTACAGGCACACGCTACCATGCCCGGCTAATTTTTTGATTTATTGTAGAGATGAGGTCTCGCCAAGTTGCTCAGGCGGGTCTCGAACAGGCTAACTCTTCATTGAGCACATGTCACATCTTAAGTATCCTGGGGATGTAGTAGAGAACAAAACACAAAGATCTCGTCACCAAGGACATTATGTTGGGAGTAAAAAGTACAGACCATAGATAAGCAAATAAAATATATGTCATCACAAACTTACAAGTGCTGTGAAATGAAATAAAACAAGAAAAAGGTTCCTGAGTGAAGGATGCTATTTTTGAAAGTTTGAAAGAGTGGTCCAGAAAAAGAGTTATGCAAGAGAAACTAGCCCCAGGGAAGCCTCACGCCGAGGATGACTGAATAATCGGGCCAAGGTGTAAGAAATGGTAAAGACTCCAAACTCCCCTTACTAGGAAAGTTAAGAGCAGAAAATGGTATCTTCTGGGACGGCACTGTGGTTCATGCCTGTAATCCCAGCACTTTGGGAGGTGGAAGCCAGAGGATTGCTTGAGCTCAGGAGGTTCAAGACCATCCTGGGCAACTTGGCGAGACCTCGTCTCTACAATAAATAAAAAAACCAGCCAAGTGTGGTGCACGCCTGTAGTTCCTGCTACTTGGAAGGCTGAGGCGGAAGGATCGCCTGAGCCCAGCAGGTCGACGCTGGGGTGGCCGTGAGCGTGCCACTGCCCTCCAGCCTGAGTGACGGAGTGAGACTCCAACTCAAGGAAAAAAAGACACATTCCGGAAAATACCACTAAGATGCCAACAGGCTAATTCCAGAAGAAAAGGCTGAGCGGAGGAGGAGAGGGGCAGCTCCACCCTAGGTCCAAATGTGAGGCGGAGGGAGAGGAAAAGGGACTCTAGGCTACAGTCGGTGCAGGCCGGGCGGGTTGACTGGGGGGAGGTCGAAAACCGGGAGGCGCGAGTTCGGAAGCCCAGGGGAAGGCAGGAAGAGCGAGGAGGACGAGGGCCGGCCCCGCCGGGCCAGTACCTTTCTCTTACGGAGGGGCACCGCCTTGTTGGGGTCCAGCGCCAAGCCCATCTCGGCCAGGTTCTGCCGCACCGATTTGGCGTGGTCCCAGGCGTGTCGGATGTGGGAGCTACCGGCAAAGAGAGAGACCGGGGGTCGGTCACCCGCGGGGCTGCGCGGGCCGAGGTCCCCCGCCTCCCGGCCCCCAGTCCCCTCACCACTCGACCCGCGGCGCCGCCTTCCGCCGCGCATTCCGGTTCAGACGCTTTCGGTTGACATTGTAACCGAACTTCTGCCTCCGGGTCTTGCCCTTGGCCTTGGGCATCTCGCAGACCGCCGCCCCAGCAGCTCACACGCGACGGCCCTCACGCTCAGAACCTCGTGGAAGGAACTCCTTCCGGAGGATGTGCGCAAGGCTTCGCAGGGCTTTTGGGAAATGTAGTCCTCTCCGCAGCATTATCGTGCTGGTTACTACAAGTCCCGGAATGCAACGGGCTTTGCGCCTGCGCACAACGCTCAGCCGCGGTTTTCTCCGCCCCCTCCTTATGACCTCATCTCAGGAGGCGGAGCTCCGCGTCCCGAATTTCTCCCGCAGCTGTTGCGCCGACATGGCGACTCCCGGCCCTGTGACTCCGGAGGTACCCTTTGAACCCTCACAGCCCCCGGTCATTGAAGGCTTTAGCCCCAGTGTCTACGGGAATCCAGAAAGCTTCAAGGAGAAGTTCCTTCGCAAGACCCGCGAGAACCCAATGGTACCTATAGGTAAGTGGTTGCTGTAGGAACTGTTCGTGGAGTGGACAGTGCTGTCGGAGGGAGTGAAATAGGGGAGGACCAGGGACGCTAGCGGGGACCGGAACGAGAGCGGGCCCGGTGTGGCAAGGGGGCGGGGCGGCGAGGGGTGAAACCGATTGGAGCGGGAGCGGAGGCCGGTTTGGGGGCGGGGCCGCGGACTGGGATGCGCGGACTCGGAAAATCGGAGGACCCGCCCGCCTCCACTGACCCCGCCGCCCCGGTTCCGCTGCTGTCCGTTGGTCTGGGCTTGGGGACGGAAGGCCCACAGCCGGGCGCTTCTGCGGGCCCCGACCTGCTGCTGCCAGCGGCTTTGACCCCTTCTAGGTTGCCTGGGCACGGCGGCCGCCCTCACCTACGGCCTCTACTGCTTCCACCGGGGCCACAGCCAGCGCTCGCAGCTCATGATGCGCACCAGGATCGCCGCCCAGGGCTTCACGGTCGCGGCCATCTTGCTGGGTCTCGCTGCCTCCGCTCTGAAGTCTCGACCCTGAGCCCACGACCGGGCCTTGAAAGCTCGGCAGAGATAATTCCAAGACCCAGGAGCCACCTCCAGCCCTTCCATGGGACTCATTCCCTCCTCTCCTCTGAGAGGCCCGGAGTGGTTGGGGAGGATGTGGCCGATTGCAGAACCCTGACAGATTTTTTTTTTCCCCAGAAGTCCCAGCTTCTGTTCAGTTTGGGTGTTGCATACCTGTATTTGTGTCACACCTCCTCCATTCCCTACTTAATAAACTCTAATCCACTTGTAGATTGGTGAATTCATTCTCATTCTCGCTCTCATGGTTTTTTTTTTTTTTTAAGGAAGCAACAGACTTAAAAACTGAAGTGACCCTTAGAAATTATGTGGTCTAAGATGGGCATGGTGGTTTACACCGAAATCCCAGCACTTTGGAAGACCAAAGCTGGAGAATTGCTTGAGCCCAGAAGTTCAAGACCCACCCAGGCAACGTAGCAAGACCCGTCTCTACAACAACAAAAAATTAGCTGGGTGTGGTGGAGCACACCTGTAGTCCCAGCTACTCAGGAGGTTGAGGTGGGAGGATCACTTGAGCCCAGGAGTTAGGGGCTGTGGTGAGCTGTGATCACCCTCCCGCCTGGGTGACAGGGCAAGACTCTCTAAGAAAAGAAAAAGACTCTTTTAGAGACTCTTTCTAAAAAAGAAAGTAAGTCTAGTGTAGTTTAGTGATTTCCAAACTTTCCTAGTTACAGTTACCTGGGGCACTTGTAAAAGTAGAGATTCCCAGGTGCCACTGCATGAGATTCTAGCTCATTGGGCCTAGAATGATGCTGTTTGGGGAAAAAAAAATCTAGCCAGCAGCTTTGCAGACTCTCAGTAGGAAAACCCTCCTTCAGATGAGGCCTGCCATGGTCCTATCAGCGGCAGGAGCCTACCCTCTACACCTGCTCCTCACTGTGCTCCCCCAATGTAGACTACCCTGGCTCTTGATGCAGTACAAGACAGGAAACAGCTCAAAGAACAGCCTGGTGTTGTGGGGAGAACACAGTCCCAGAGCCCCGCAGCAATTTGTGTTCCTTATGTTTTAGGGTTCTGGAAGGAGGAAGCCAGGATCCTTTGAGTTCCTCATTCTTGTGAAGTCTCAGCCAGGTATTATTTTCCTGGTCTGGGGTCAGCTCTTTCCAAGTGTTGATTCAGGGACCCACACTCCTCCCATGTGTGATGCCACCATTTCAACACGAGCTTCAAGCCAGAAGGAAAAAGGAGTGAAGAAGTCACAGTCATTCTTGAGCCCCTGACTGTCTAGATTTCTGAGTGTATAACTGGAGTTTCTTGTCTCCACCTTGCCTCTCAGCTGTGCGGCAGAGATTACGAGTATAGAACAGTGTGCTGTGACCCTTGACCTCAAGATACAGGGATAGGATTAGGGCCATTAATCCCCCAAAAAGAGATGTTGAAGTCCTAACTTTCAGTTTCTTAGAATGTGACATTTAGAAAGAGGGACCTTACAGAGGTAGTCAAGTTAAAATGAGGTCATTAGGGTGGGCCTAATCCAGTATGACTGGATTAGGTAAACAGGCCAGGTGCGATGGCTCAAGCCTGTAATCCCTGCACTTTGGGAGGCTGAGGTGAGGGGATTGCCTGAGCCCACAGGTTCGCGAAAGCCTGTGCAACTTGGCGAGACCTCGTCCCTAAATAAAAAAATTACCCGGGTGCGGTAGCGCGCCTGTAGTTCCAGCTGCTTGGAAGGCTGAGGTGGAAGGATCACCTGAGCCCAGCAGGTCAACACTAGGGTGGCCATGAGCGTGCCACTGCACTTCAGCCTGGGCGACAGAGTGAGACTCCAACTCAAAAAGAAAAAGGGAAACAGACATGCATAGAGGGCAGATGATGTGGAGACAGCCCTAGGACGGTGGGGGCAGAATTCAAGTGACACACTGCAGGCCCAGGAGTGTGTGAGGCCACCAGAAGCTGGGAGAGGCCTGGGGCAGATGGCCAGCTCCTTCCGAGGAAGCAAGGCCCTGCCCACACCTCAATCTCGGCCTTCTGGCTCCGGAACTGTGAGACAATGAATTTCAGTTCTAAGCCAGCTGTGTACTTTGTTACGGCAGCCCTAGGAAACTAGTATTTATTGGCAGTTACTCGAATGTTTAAATCCCATGCAAGTCATGAACGTCCTGTTTGCACCCTTGCTGAAGCAGGTGTGGTCACTGGCTGTTTATCCCGAGTCCATAGAAGGGCGCGGCTGAAGGAGGGGGTGAGATACACAGAGCAGGGGGCCCCCCATGCCCGGAGGGTCCTGACCACCTCTGGGAAAGGGGGTCTGGCAGAGCCACCTTCACCAACCAGCCTCTCATCCGGGCGGAGAGGAAGCCACCACCGGGAACCTTGTCCCTCCTGCTGCAAGCCACTTCCCCTCTGGGAGCCTGGTGTCCTCGGCTCTATGATGACAATAACAGAATCTCGGCCTCTTGGGCTTGTTAAAGGATCAGAAAGCTGCAGGCTGCACAAGCATTCCGGGGGAGGCTGGCTTGCCCCCTAGGGCAGAGGCAGCAGACACAGGTCGGGGCTCCCGCTTCTGAGCCCCTGGCTTCCAGGGGAACATTCTCTCGGGGCCATGAAGCTGAGAAGGTTCTAAGCACAAACTGAGCCCTGACACCGGTTGCGGCTTCCAGAGAAATGAGAATGATAATAAATAAGTGTAAAAAGAGTTAACAACACACCCTTTAAGCCAAGAACAAAAATACATCAGGAGGGACAGTCACAATCTAGTGGACTACGAGGAGGCGTGGGGGGTGGACCACAGGGCCGGGGGCAGCGGGGGCGAGAGGGTGAGGGTGCCCCTCTCAGCCCTGGGAGAAGGGGAGGAACGGGACAGACTGTGTCGCAGCTGCCGGAGAAAGTTTCCACCTGGCCACGGCAGCTGCTCCTCCTCCGCCCAGGCCCGCCCACGCCTGTGGCCGCGCTCATGCCAGGCAGCTAGCGGGACAGCGGCGTCTGCTTCAGGGACATGAGCACCGAGCGCAGGCGGGACACGTCCTTGCACTGCTTGCTGCTCTTGGGGTTGAAGTCGCACAGCTGGGCCACCTTCTCCCACTCCGTGCCTGGGGTCTCCTCCTTGGACTCCTTCACGAAAGCCTCCTCCGATGCCCTGCGGGTGCAGACAGGACAGGGGTTTCATAGCTACCGGGGCACTTGGTCCGGGGATCTCCTCCCCAGCCCGGTGCACCCCTGACCTCAGTCCCTTCCTGCCCAAAGAACAGCCTTGGTGGAAGAGGAAGCCTAGCTCGTGGTCCTGCCTCAGGGCTTTTGCACCTGCTGTCCTGCCTCCCTGGAATGCTCCTCCCCAGGCCCGTTCGCGTCACCCAGGTCTCAGCACAGGCCTCACCTCCTTAAAAAGGTCTCCCAGCCTCAGCACTCTCTGTTCATCGCCTCCCCACCAGGAGTTCCCAACCTGGGGTGAACTAATGCTGCACCTTGGCTTTTTTTCTTTCTTTCTTTTTCTTGAGTTGGGGTCTCACTCCGTGGCCCAGGCTGGAGTGCAGTGGCACGTTCACGGCCACCCCAGCCTCAACCCACTAGGCTCCAGTGATCCTTCCACCTCAGTCTTCCAGGTAGCTGGAACTACAGGCATGCGCCACCATGCCCAGTTAGGTTTTTGATTTATTGTAGAGATGAGGTCACGCCAAGTTACCCAGGCAGGTCTCGAACCTGTGGACTCAGGCAGTCCTCTCACCTCGGCCTCCCAAAGTACTGGGATTACAGGCTTGAACCACTGCACCTGGCTTTTTTTTTGGGGGGGGGAGCTGTTTCAACATCGCCAAAACCTTGGCAGAGGCGGGACATCGGTTAACACCTAACCAACAGAAGCACCTAGTTCAACTTCTCCTAAATGTTCTGTGTAAGTGCTTTCCAGACTACTCATGGAAAACTCAAAGAGGATCTCTACAGCAAGACTTTCAAAGCCTTAAAGTGTGAGGGTGCACCGTGACCCTCTGAGGCGGAGCGTGTAGGTGTAGAACCCACCGCATCGCAAGTGCATTTGGCTCCAGAGCCCTTGACACCGAGAACTCTTTTTTTTTTTTGAGTTGGAGTCTCACTCTGTTGCCCAGACTGGAGTGCAATGGCCGCTCCCAGCCACCGGCAGCCTCAACCTCCTGGGCTCCAGCAATCCTTCCGCCTCAGCCTTCCAAGCAGCTGGAACTACAGGCGCGCGCTACCACGCCCGGCTAGTTTTTGATTTATTGTGGAGATGAGGTCTCGCCAAGTTGCCCAGGCAGGTCTCGAGCCCGCGGGCCCAGGCAATCCACTCACCTCGGCCTCCCAAAGTGCTGGGATTACAGGCTGAGCCACCGAGCCCGGCCAGAGAACTCTTATCTCTGTGGAGCTGCAGCCTGGGGGCGGCTCCACTGGAAACAAGTTAGGCTGAAAACTGGTGGTGTCCATATCAGACGCTCTGGTTGACAGTCACAGAAGCCACAGAGTCAGGGACAATGGGGGAACAGTGCAGTAAAAGTGGCCTAGGGAACAAAATCTAAACATAGGCGTCGGAGAAGACACCAAAAGATTCTCAAGTGGGGAGAGCTGGGTCTGTGTCCTGTGTGGTCAGCAAGGACTGCTGGCACGTCCTTTCTTTCCTTGTGCCCCCTCCGCATGCCACGCAGGACCAGCTCTGCCGCATGCCAGGCACCCTGATGGAGGGAGTGCGCCGTGTGTGCCTCTGTGCCAAGGGAGAGCTGGTCTGGGATCAAGTGGCCTGGCCCATCCCCAGCAATGTTTCCTACCCTATAAGGTGAGGATCAGAGATAAGCCAACAAGGTGGCAGGTGCATGCAGGCTTGGGAGGTGGGAGTCAGATGGCGAGGGGGGCTGAGGGGACTCATCCTGGGAACTGTCCCTTCAGGGTCAAGAGACTCCTCTCCATTCTGACAGCCCAAAGTGTGGCCCGCAGTCCAGTGACATCAATGTCACCGTGGAGCATGTCAGAAAGGCAGAGTCAGCCGGGCTCGGTGGCTCAGCCTGTAATCCTGCACTTTGGGAGGCTGAGGTGAGTGAATTGCCTGAGCTCGCGGGTTCGAGACCCGCCCGGGCAACTTGGCGAGTCCTCATCTCTACAATAAACCAAAAAAATTAGCCGGGCGTGGTAGCACGCACCTGTACTTCCAGTTACTTGGAGGGCTGAGGCAGAAGGATCGCAGGAGCCCCGCAGGTCGAGGCTGCGGTGGCCGGGAGGGGCCACTGCACTCCAGTCTAGGCGACAGAGTGAGACTTCAACTCAAAAAAATAAAAAATAAAAACAAAAAAAGAAAAAAGAAAAAAAAGAAAGGCAGAGTCCTGGGCTTCACCACAGTCCTGCTGAATCGGAATCCGTTTTTACAAGACCTCCAGTCCCTCACTGGCACGTGGACGCCTGAGAAGCTGTGGTCTAGCCTCGCGCTCTCTGGGACACACTTAGTGCTCCCTGGGCCATCTCCACCTCCAAGCTCGACAGGAATCCCTCATGGTATCCCATAGCCCCTGCCGGAGGCCTCCCTGGCTCCTCACTGTCAAGTCCGAGCTTCTTATCCCAGTGCAAGAGGAGCTTTGACAGCCCCCAGCGGCCCCTGTCCCAGCCCTGGCTCCCACCCACCTCCACACTGACCCCTCGCACTCTGGCCACTACAGGCAGCGGCATCCCTGTCCCATGCCTTGGCCCCAGTGGCTCCTCCACCCCCACCCCACCCCCGCAAACTCTTCCTCTGAAGGTCTCACAGCTCCAAAACCCACCCTGGCTCCCCCAGCAAGGGTGGCTTCAGGCTCACTGTGTCCCTCCCCGAGGCTCTTGTCACAACATATTCCAGGCCATGAGCACCCAGGGGACACGACCTGTGTGTGTCTTACTCTAGCTAACCAGAGTCCGGCATAGGGAAAGTGCCAGTGAGTCCTGGACAGAGAGGAGGGTGGATGGAAGGAAGGACAAGGACAGGAGGGCCCTGGCACACCTTGAGCCCCGTGGGAGAGGCTTAGCCCTGACAGCATCACAGGCCACGAGAGCACACCTGAGCGCAGAACAGCAGGGACGTGACACACGCGTGTGCAGACGTCACTTACTCGTCACCGCACTTTCTCTCCAGCATTTCCAATGCCACCCTCTAGGCTGTCCCACCAATCCACAGAGACTGGCAGGAGATCAAGCCTGGGACGGCCAGCCTAGTCACGCCAACTAGGCCCTGAAAGACGTGAGAGGGCCCAGGGTGGCCTGGGCAGGGGCTCATGGCCAGCGTCAGCGCCCGTAGGGGCGGGGGTGGATGTGCACACGAGAGCATCGCTGACTCCTCTCCAAATACCTCAGCATCGGGGGCTCAGCGGGCCCACCCATCCCCAAGAGGCATCCCAGGGAGATGCTTTGCCACACGCCCTCCACACAGGAACAAAGGGTCAGCGCATTCCTTTCTCGGCCTCCGGTTGTGATTTAGCCAAGCCGCCTCCAGTCCGCTGGAGGGACAGAGGCCGGGGTTGGTGCCAGCACCCTCCCCGGTATTCATCACCGGCCCAAAGCCCAGCCACACGCATTTATGTTTCACACGCTCAGGAGACCGTGTGTGGGCCACACGTGGGCTGCGCTCTCTCCACCTGCCCCGACAGAGGAGCGCAGAAGACACGTACACGTAGCCGATGATGTCGGCATCTGGCTGCTGGTAGAATGCTTTGTCAGCGATCCTTGAGGGCAGGTGGGGGAAGGGTTAGGAGACAAGACAGGCAGCGAGACAGACAGGCAGGCAAGGGTTAAAGAGAAAGAGAGACAGTGTTAGTTCCTCGGGGGAGAGGTGTTAGGAAGCACAGTTCTGGAAGGCTCGGCAGGACCCACAGCCCCAGGGAGGAGCTTGGGGAAACCACCTTCCCTTCCACATTCCTTCCGTGGCTGCCCACTGCCCATGTCCGCCCAGCCCATCATCCAAGGCCCTCACCACAGGACCCCGGCCTCCCGACGTCTCCCCACCACTCCCCGACGCTCGGTTGCTCACACCCCACAGCCTATCTTTTGTACCACGCCGTTCCCAGGTCTAGAATGCCCTCGCCTACCCCTGCCTTTTTTCCTGATGAACCCCTATTCACCCTCCAAAGCCCAAGTCCCCAGACACAGAGGCTCCTCCCCCATCTGGTTCCTTGTCCCCCTTGTTTCCGTAGCCCCCACGCAGAGGGCCCTGCTGGATGCAACTCAGCTGTGCATGTGTTACCTCTGAGCTCTGAGGACGTGAGACCAGGACCCTCTTGTCTCCAGCTCCTCAGCATCCAGCCCAGAGCCTGGTATGCAGCAGTTTCTTTTTTTATCTTTTTTTTTTTTTTATT